GGCATGTCCCACGGGCAGGAGCCCCCGGGGACGACCAAGGACACGCTGGAGAGACTATGTCACCCAGCTGGCCTTGGAACGCCTCGGGATCCGCCAGGAAGAGCTCGAAGAAGTGACTGGGGAGAGGGAAGTCTGGGCTTCCCTCCTAAAGCTGCTGCCCCCGCGACCCGACCCCGGATAAGCGGTGGAAAATGGATGGATGGATGGATGGATGGATGGATGGATGGATGGATGTGGCTCCCGAGCCAAAGATTTGCCCACCTCTGCTCTAGACGTTGATGTTTCATAGTTTTCTAGTCCTCATATTTTATTCTCATGTGCCATTTTGTTGAAAGTGATTTTTCGTTATTTATTTACCTTGCGATTTGCAAGCAATTTGTTTATTTTGTTTTATCCTGACTCTTTGTTGCTAGCAACTTTTGTTGTACTGTCGGTATTGCGGTTTTTCTGTAATAAATCTCTTGTTGTCACTTATCCTTGTCTATGTTTGTGGTATTCCATCCTTACCGTTTGCAGCAGAGCCTGACATATACACTGTTTTATTCCACCACTCAAACTATTTCATAGTATGACCACAAAAAAAAATAGCAATTTGTTTATTTTGTTTTATCCTGACTCTTTGTTGCTAGCAACTTTTGTTGTACTGTCGGTATTGCGGTTTTTCTGTAATAAATCTCTTGTTGTCACTTATCCTTGTCTATGTTTGTGGTATTCCATCCTTACCGTTTGCAGCAGAGCCTGACATATACACTGTTTTATTCCACCACTCAAACTATTTCATAGTATGACCACAAAAAAAAATTCTGTTGCATTGTTCGTATGCCCTTAATTTTGAAAACAAAGATACTCTTAAGATATACAGTTCCACAAGATATTTTTAATGTTATTTGCTTTGACTGTAAGAAAGGTGGACTGGTGTGATCACTACATCTTGCCCTATGGATGATCCATATTGTCCTTTTTTTGCAGTGATTAGTGACTATAGTGCACTTGTGTAATTATGATGCCAGACCTCTCAAACTACAAGTCACATATGTAAGGACCAGTGAGAAGTAGAGAATGTGGAATATTTTGAAATCCAGGGCCTGCTTCACTTTCTAAAACTGCAATGCTTGGTGACACTTTAGTTTGAACATGAGTCATGTGTGACAAAATGGAATAAAGTTGCTAAAGCTGTGTTTCTTTTGAAGGACCTTGGCACCAGAGAGATTACTGTGAAATGTTGTAGCACGAACATATGGAATTTCAATGGAACCCTCAGACAATGATTGTGTTGAAGTCACTTAGATGATCACAGATAAAAATGGTCTGTCCCTGTCATTAACTGGAGTATCAAAGCACAGTGGTTCCTGCTAAAATTGTGTTCTTTGGCAATGGTACTCCGATGTATTTGCCACTCAATTTTCCAGTTAATTGTTGTTGACCTATTTTCAAGACATTGTCATAGTTTACTGTATGTTTGTTATTCCAGGTCAATGTTCATCATCGTGTTTCCTCTGTACCGACTTTGGCAGTGTCTCAAAAAAAGTGTGTTTTTAAGCACATTTTTCTGAAAATGTGGATCAAATTTCAAATTGCAAGATGGTGGCCAGCTGGGAGCGTTCTGAAACTACATCAAAAGTACATAACTACAATTACGCTCGTGTATAATTTACAAATGAAAATAAGCACAATAGATATAGCAATAAGCAGCATGCAGCACGACTGCAATCAGACCAAATGTAGTCAATAGTAGTGTGTGGCAGTCACTCAGTAAACTGTTTCATCGGGATAAGGTTGTTTTTTTTTTCTTTTTAAATAACAGTTTTTAGCCATGAACACCAAACGAATTGATGCATGATGGATTTGATAGATTATGTGATACCATAAATGAGATGATACAGTAGCAGCCTCACAAGAATAGTGACAATTGAGAAAAGAGGCATGAGCTTACAGTTTTGCTGAGGTAACCAGTTGAAATATTCCTGCATTGCTTGTCTTCAGAGTGGCAACATCCTCCACATCTGTAGACGGACACACATGGTGGTTTATAGAAGATGTTGGTGGGTACACCAAACTCCCTGCCCACGTCGACACACACTTCCCTGGGTCTGCACTGAGTCTTTCTCCACTCTGACTCTACACCTGCACACAGAATATCCAAGGTTCATCAATACGCGCCTCTAGGGTGTCAGGCCCCACTCAAACATCAAGTTTCTCCATCAGTCTTTATCATTCTCCTCACTTTTCTCCTCCTTAAGGTGTTCCTGAAGTTGTAGTTTGCAGCGGTGTGGAACTGCATTGCATATTACTGTACATGAGGTGACCAAAACGGATGTCCCATTTTTTTTTTTTTTTTTTTAATTCCAAGGGAACACAACCAAGGCCATTTTTTTAGGGAATCAACCCAAGGTCATTTATTTAGAGTCCCATGCACCAAAGCTCTTGTGGTCCTAAATAAGCTAAACATATAAAACAATACAAAGTTCTCTCTTCTATCAGATGAGGATTATTTCTAGAACCAGGACAGTTTTTTTTTTCTCATCCTGACTGTTGCAATGGTCTCTATTAATCACCAGTCAGGGTTTCCTTCATTTTCTCAAGGGGAGAAACATGTGGTATTTGTTTCAAAAAAGCACAAGATGTTCATCCTATGGAATTAACTGGATTTCTACATAGATTGGTCATGAAATGTTATCTGATCTTCATTTCGGTCACAAAAATAGACCAACCGGTGACAACAACTTGTCATGATTCGGTTTGGGACCAACAGGTGGCACTGTAGGGCTCTCCCTGCAGCTGCACACCTGTTGGTCATTAGGTAATTAGTGGCTTTAAAAGGACTCCCAGCCCGAGCAATCCTTGTCGGGTCATTGTTGCTCTTTGCCACTGTCATGTTTGTTTGTTGCTGTTGCTTTGTGCTATTGTCATGTTTGTTTGCTGTCATGTTTGTTTTGGTCAGTGGTATGTTTTATCTTCAGTCATGTGTTTTGTTTGATACTTTGGACTTTGTTTGTTTTGGATTTAGTTTTCTGAGTTTTAATACAATCTTTCAAGTACACCCTGCTCCTGCCTGCTTTTTGGGGTCCACCACCACCTCGCTACGTGACACAACTAGGGAGCTTTAAGTAATATCACCCAAACAATTATGACAGACTTAAAAAAAAAAAAAAAAAACCTCAAATTACGTGTTATCGTGAAATCTGACATACAGTATGTCATACTCACTAAAATATGACATCTAGGTCTATCTTTCCTTATTCATTTTTATCAGCGACAGTACATATTAAACATTGCAGGCAATATGACAGAGTTAGCCGCAAAGCTATTTTTCATCTGCAGTCATGACTACAGATGTAAATGTCACCCTAAAACAGTGGTTCTCAATTATTTTATGTCATGCCCCCGCAAGGAAGAGGAAAACATCTCGCCCCCCCCCCCCCTTTAACAATAAATATTTTTTGACTGACCATGTCAAACCATACGATACTGAAAACTAAAATTACATAAAATCAATAACTAATAATGCATTCAAACTAATCACCAACATTATTTCAGAAGCACAATATTAAAACTAAACTTTAACCAGCAAAACAAAAATATAAAAAAGAATTTGTGCTTTTTTTTTTTTTTTTTTTAAATTAAAGATGATGTCTGGATTAATGACTACAATGAGCACGTTTTGCAATGCGCAGCTTTTCGAAGCGAGGTTTGAAGCAGGACACAGTAACTCTCGGCTCCTGCTCAATGTGTAGCCGGGACCTGTATTTTAGTTTACTTAAGTAGCAGTCACAAAGCGGCATGATTGTTGGCAATATTCGGCACGTTTTCGCTGAAAAAACTCAAGCAGCTTATCAGCGTGATTGGGGTGTAATGTCTTTAAGTGACGCCTTAATTTATTTGGCTTCATGCTGTCCCCAACCAACATTTTTAGACACAGTAAGCACTTCGATCTTTCCTCGTCTGCCACCGCAGTCACATTGAAGCCAAGCGCAACATACGCCTCGTCATATTTCCTCCCTGAGAATGCTCCCTGCGCAAACTCTGCTAATGAGAGCGCCACTGCCCCCTAAAGTAGTTTAGGACAGTAAAAAAAATAAAAAAGCATGTTCCCCGAGGTCAGACGCGCCCCCCTTGACGGAGCCTCGGGGCGTGCCCTACTATTTGAGAAACACTGCCCTAAAAGAATAAGAATTAAAATAAATAAAAATAACAATACATTCAGGAAAAATACTATTAAGCTACATTTACATGTTTACATTAAAAAAAAATACAAACTACCAAAAAGTACTATTAAGCTTAAGTGTACATACATTTACATAAAATTGGTCGGTGGTTGACTGGTTAGCACATCTTGAAATGTGACAGGGGTTGATGAAAAAGGAAACAAAACATTTACATTTCAGGCATGGGGCCATCGGTGCATAGATATCAATAAATAGATATCAAGATATATATATATATATATATATATATATATAGACTTCACTCTAAATGAAAATCTCAAAAGAATTCATCGCGTTAAGAGCAAAAAGAGATGAGTGACTGGTTATTTTGCCGTGATCAGCAACTTGCCACCTTGTGGTATTTTGCTGTGAATCGCACGAAAGCTAAAAGAATCCGGCGCAGGATTGGGCATGTTACTGTAATAAAGTAATTAGTTATATTTACAAATTACTCTCTCCAAAAAGTAATAGGTTACTGGCTTGTAATTTGTTGCTCTTGGTATTTTTTTACTGTTCTCTCTATTGCAGGGGTGGGCAATTCCAGTCCTGGAGGGCCGCTATCCTGCATGCTTTCCATCCCTCCATGTTGCAAAACATTTGATTCAAATGAACAGGTTCAATATCAGGCTTCCGCAGAGCTTGCTGATGATCTGATCATTTGAATCAGCTGTGTTGCAACAGGGAGAGATGGAAAATATGCAGGATAGTGGCCCCCCCAGGACTGGAAATGCCCACCCCTGCTGCATTGTGTATATGTTTGTAATAGCTCATTGTATAATTAAACGAAATATTTTAGAACAGCTAGTGTTTATTTGTACAGAAGAGATTGCAATTTGCCACATAGAGAGATTTATAAAAAAAAATAAAAATAAAAAAAAAAGAGTCTAGAAAATAAGTACTGTAATATTCACACACTGCATTTAAGTGCAAAACTAAGACAGACAAATGAGGACTTAAATATATTAAAAAAAAAAAAAGCAAGAAAAATTTGGCAATTGGGTTGTCCTCTCTGTATTGATACACTAGGATGCATTCCTGAGATCGATGGCTTATGAATACAAATCAGCACCATTACACAAAAATCTATTCATTTGTCACAATATTTTCCTGCCCTAATCATGAATGTATTGAAGTAAGAGTTTGGTCACGAAATGCATTCCACTTTGTGAAACCATGACGAAGGTCCACACAACAAACAATGACTCCCCAACCATGGATCTCAGTTCAATTGCGTGAATGAAAAGAATGTTGACAATGTTTTTCTGCGAAGGTAATTTAAAAACTGATGCATTTCTGAAACGTTGACCTCATGCTCCTTAATCGTACTGTGGCATATGACATCATCGCTAAAAGCAATGGCAATGAAATACGCGAAGTGATGAATCAAATGAGACTATTATTCAAAGATGAACACTGTTAGTAACTGCAAAATTGGAACACCATTATGCCCGACACTGGTAAAGTGTGCCAGCTTGTTGCGTGGTGGAGAGCTGAGAATTACTTCAATATGGGATTTTGTTTGTTTTGACAGTTGTTTTTTTTTTCTTTTATCCTTCTCTGTGACTTTTATTAATTCAGTGATGGAAATTACAGAAGGAAGTTTGTGATTGGGGTTTTTTTTTCAGTGTTTTTAAATTATTGATGTTTTCATAGTCAGCACATCTAATTTCTACTTCTGTGACTCACTTCAGACATTGCATGGATAGTTATGTAACCTTTTTGTTTTGATTCTGTGAAAGTGCTCTGGGTGTCGCATATTGGATCGAGAGTTTTGACATTTTCCTTTACTACTTCTGCACCTACTGTTCTGGGTGTCACATGTTTGAATTCTACATGCTCACTCGAGTCATTTGTGTTTATTTATTTTGCTGGTTTGTCTCTCGCTCTCGCTTCATCGGGGTTCCCATTTGGACAGCTTGACAGTTGGAGTCGCTGCTTGTTCAGTTGTCATTCTTAACATTTTCCAATGCTGTAAAAATATTTCGAATAGATATTCCATTTCAACATTTCTGTCAACAAAGATTTGTGTCATAGCCTGCGACACAAGTTTTTTATTAGCAGAGCGGGATGCCAGGCAGATGGCTGTTGTAAGAAGAAACGGTGTTTCATGTCCAATTCACAGAAGGAACTGGCAAAGAATGGCAATCTGAAGGACCGAGAGAAGCATTTTAAAACGGTTCATGTCAGCTACGAAAGTTAACATGCTGCAAAAGTGCGTCCCGTGCCTCGTTCATCTTAGCCGCCGTTATAGCTGTTGTTCATTATGGCATGCGTGCATAAGTGCGTGCGTTTGCGTGCGTGTGCGGTCACAGGTCAATCGCGGGAGGTTGGTTGATCGAAAAATAGAGCTTTGGTCAAAAAAGGTTGAGCCCCCCCTGCTCTGCACGATGCACTGCAGGGAAAAAAAAAGTTTAATAGGGACGGCTCATTGTGTATTTGTAGCCAACTTAGTCATTTTGATAGTAGGCTAATATAGCTCATATAGATGCATACAGCGTGTGTTGCTTTCTTTCTGAGGCTTTTAATTTGTTGCGGCTCCAGACACATTTGTTTTTCTTTTTTTTTAGTCCAATATGGTTCTTTCAACATTTTGGGTTGCCGACCCCTGAGTTAGCTAGAGAGCTATTAAATGAGTTTAACCCTTTCATGTGCTTTGTAATCTGATAGCATGATAAGCTGTCCATTGTGGTAACCGCTGTCCCTGAAAGGGGAAATAAGTGTAATTAAAATACAATGGACCCCCGCTATTTGGAGGAGATAAAAACTGGCCCCAGCCGCAAATAGCAAAAATCTGTGAGTAATCAACTCTACCTTACATTTGCAATGACAAAAAATTCTGGGGGGAAAAAAATCAGGATTGGGTCAGTAAAAAGCAAAAGCCCGCACAGATAAGATAAAAGATAAGATAAGATAAGACAACCTTCATTTGTCCCACACTGGGGAAATTTGCAGGGGTTTCAGCAATTACATTCCGCAAAGAGGTGAATTCATGAAATCCAAACTGTGAACATGCAGGGATCAACCGCTCTCTCCCACCAAAATGATTGCCACATACATTTGATGTCAATGGTAGAGAAATGTCTATATTAGTATAATCCCAATTCCAATGAAGTTGGGACATTTGTTAAATGTTAAAACAAATCATCATTAATTTAGGATTGTATGGCTGCAACACGTTTGAAACAAGTTGGGACAGGTGGCAAAAAAATAAATTAATAAAATAAAATAAAAATTTAAAAAAAGAAAGTTGAGGAATACTCATCAAACATCTTTTTCTCACATCCCACAAGTGAACAGGCTTACTGGGAACAGGTGGGTGCCATGATTGTATAAAAGGAGTTTCCCTGTACTGATCAGTCAATCACAAGCCAAGATGGGGCGAGGTTCAACTCTTTGTGAACAACTGCGCAACAAAATAGCCCAACAGTTTAAAGACAATGTTCACAATGCACAACTGCAAGGAATTTACAAATGTCATAATTTATGATCCATCATATCCTCAAACGTTCCATCTGGAGAAATATTGAATATCGAATGCTAGTGGCATTCGATCCCTCAGGCGCCAATGCATTAAAAAAAAAAATTTAAAAAAAACTTTGTGGGCTCAGGACCACTTCAGAAAACCAATACTGCATCACTAAATACAGTTCAGCGCTGCAGCCATAAATGCAACTTAAAATTCTATGATGCAAAGCAAGAGCCATTTATCAACAAAACCCAGAAATGCCACCGGTTCCTTTGGACCGAGCTCATCTAAGATGGATTGATGCAAAGTGGAAAAGTGTTCTGTTGTCTGATGAGTCCACATTTCAAATTGTTTTGGGATATGGTGGACGTCGTGTCCTCCGGGCCAAAGAGGAAAAGAACCATTCGGACTGTTACGGACAGAAAGTTTAAAAACCGGTATCTGTGATGGTACGGGGCTGTGTTAGCGCCAATGGCATAGATAATTTACACATCTGTGAAGGTGAAGGGTCCACACAGGTTTCGGAGAAACAAGCTGCCATGCAAGAAACATCTTTTTCATGGACACCCCTGCTTATTTCAGCAAGACAATGCCAAACCACATTCTCCACGTTACAACAGTGTGGCTTCGTAGTAAGAATGCGGTTACTAGACTGGCCTGCCTGCAATACAGACCTGTCTCCCATTGAAAATGTGTGGTGCATGATGCAAAATACGGAGACCCCGGACTGTTGAACAGCTGAAGCAAGAATGGGAAGGAATTCCACCCACAAAGCTTCAGCATTATTGTCCTCAGTTCCCAAACCTTTATTGAATGTAGCTTATAAAAAATAAAATTAAATTAAAAAAAAGTGATCTAACGCAGTGGTAAATATGACCCTGTCTCAGTTTTTTAGAACGGGTTGCAGCCATAAAATTCAAAGTTTATGGTTATTTGCGCAAAACAAAGTTTATCACTGTAAACATTAAATATCTTGTCTTAGCAGTGTATTCAATCAAATGTCTTTTGAACATGATTTACAAATAATTGAATTTTGTTTTTATGTTTAACACAATGTCCCTACGTTATTGGAATTGGCTTTGTAAAGTGAGAGTGAATCCAGAGGGAAAAAAACCCCAACAGAAATCAAACCTACTTTTCAGAACATCCAAGTTGAGGTAGGCAGCCGCAAAGTTTGTCTGATCTGTTTCTATTAACGGCTCCAGGTGGTGAGACAGTTTGGACACAGAAGCAAAGGGTAATTTAGATTTACACTTGAGAGCAGCCCAGTAGAATGGGTAGATAAGACTCATCAATTCATCAACACTGGAAGCTGAGCGCAACCTCTCTTCCATGTCTGGCTCCGGGAGTGAAGAGTCCTGAAACCATAAGAAAACAACACTTTCCTTGAGAATATATATAAATCAGATCTCTTTATACCAAGACAAAGTCACAATTTGATCAGATATTCTAGATCAGGGGTGCCCATTACGTCGATCCTGATCGACCGGTAGATCGTGGACTGGTCCCAAGTAGATCCGAGGGGTGTAGAGGAGACAAAAAAAACAAACAACCATATGTGTCTTTGTACATGTTAGTAATATATTTTTGTGTTAATGTACACTGCACCCTAATCATCCTATCAGTCTCATTTTCACATAAAAATATTTTAAAAAAATAGAGTAAAATAAAGCAGGTAAATCTTTAACCGACGGTGGCGTGTGACCTACGTAACCGGAAGTTGTTAGCGCTCAGCAGTCTGCAATTGCAGCTTGTGATCAGAGCTGTTGTGCAACATCTTTGATCGTCATTATTCTCATTCAGAGTTTGCTTCGTGTACAATTCACCGAGGGCACGGGCAAAGAATAGGAATCTAGAGGGCCCAGGGAAGCACTTTAAAACGGTACGTGAGCTATGATAGTCAACAGGCTGCAAAAGTGCATCGCATGCCTCCGTGTCAGGCTGTTTCTCATCATGGCGTGCGCGCACGCGTGCATGCGTGCGTGCGTGTTTGTGTGTGTGCATGCGCGTGCGCGTGCACGTGCGCGGTAAGGAGCGATCCCGGGAGGTTGGTTGATCGAAAAGTCGATCTTCGTTCCAAAAAGTTTGGGCACCCCTGTTCTAGATATTCATTAAATATTTTTGGATTGCTTATATACACTATATTGTGTATAGATGGAGAACAGTGTTAAATATTGACTTTACCGTAATTGCAGCTCACACATTGTAGTGTCTACTGCATTTGTGCAAACAAAATGATCTTTAACAGCTGGCAATATATACAATAATATCCATCACAGAGCACAAAGATATTTCTGTATTGGTCAATATCCAGCTGAATTATTGCCAGAACGCTTAGGGCAGGGGTCGGCAACCCAAAATGTTGAGAGAGCCATATCGGACCGAAAAAACAAAAAACAAATATGTCTGGAGCCGCAAAAAATATATCATAGTTAGTTAATTGTTTATTGAACATACAATACAACAACAATTGACAAAAGGCAAACAAAATTACAAAAGGAGAAATAAAAATAAAAAGTAAATACACATACACACACACACATATATATATATACACACACACACATATACATATACACACACCTACATATATACATGTATATAATTATTCATTCTCCTTTTTATAGCAATTGTCTCATATTCATTATAAATACTGCATTTCTTGAATATATTTAATGAGTTGATCAAAATCCAAAACAAGAACAGACCGTTATATTACTATATTTTATAAGTATGTCGAATTTATCTTCTTAACTTTGATTTTTGTAGTTTGTTTGTACTAATCTTTTAAATTTGTTTTTGAACTCGTCCAGCGATTTACTCATTTTCAGATCCGTTTCAAGCTTGTTCCACAGATTATATTACATATAATAGCTATATATAAGCCCTATAATGAAGTCGACACATGCCGTATGTATCTATATTAGCTATATTAGCTTACTATCAAAATGACTGAGTTGGATACAAATACACAATGAGCCTTCATGATTAAAAGCTTTGTTTTGTTTTGTTTTGCTTTGTTTTTCCCTGCAGTGCATCTGTTAGTTCCGTCACGGAAGATCTACTTTTCCATCAACCAACATCCCACGATTGACCGGTTACCGCAAATGCGCATACGCACGCACTTACACACACATGCCATAATGAGCAACAGCCATAACGGCCACTAAGATGAACGAGGCATGGGACGCACTTCTGCAGCGTATTAACTCTCATAGTTCACGTGTACTGTTTAAAAATGCTTCTCTTGGCCCTTCAGATTCCCATTCTTTGCCAGTACCCTTGGTGAATTGTACAAGAAATGCTGTTTTTTTGTACAATCATCTGACTGAAACCAACCAGCTGACTGAAATTCCGTCCTGCAAATACAAACCTGTGTCGCAGGCTATGACGCAATTCATCAAATTTAATATTCATTTTATACATTTTTACAGCATTAGAAAACGTTTAGAATGTCTGTGTCATGTTTTTCCTTTTACAGAAACCAAATTAAAACAAAAAAATATATTTCCCTCTCCCATCTTTTTCAATTTTAAACATTTTTGAAAAAGCTCCAGTGGCTCCAGGGAGCCACTAGGGCGGCGCTAAAGAGCCGCATGCGGCTCCGGAGACGCGGGTTGCTGACCCTCAATCTAGTGTGAGAAAAACAAAAGCTTTTTCTGCTTCTGCTACAAACTCTTTGCGAAGAGGCTCAGGTATTCTTTTTTTTGGGGGGGGGTCCATTTAAGATGTCCTTCTTTGCTCTCTTCAGGGATTTTTCAAGTATCTGCAATTCATATACTGTACTGAATGTTAATTATCCATCCATTCATTTTCCGAACTGCTTCATCCTCACAAGGGTCGCGGGGCGTGCTGGAGCCTATCCCAGCTGTCTCCGCGCAGTAGACAGGTGTTAGAGGAATCTATGAGCAAAATTGTATCATATTTAGTTTCATTTAATTTGGGCACATCTAAACGTTTGGGTGCATATCCGGCACCCCCAAATGCCTGTGCACAAAGGTGCCGGCCACCTGGCCGGAGGGCTGTTGAAGTCCACAATTAGCACGTCAATGCAGGTGGCCGATCACAGGGGAGAGGGCGAAACTCGGTCACAAAAGGGGAATGAATAATTCGGGAACAGCGGTTGAACAACAAAAGACGAGTTGAGAACACCCATCGCGCCCAGGCGACATTGGCCATCTGCAAAGTCTGCAACATGTTAATTCGATGTAGACCAGACAGAAAAGGCGCCGACGTACTTAAAGTTTACAAACAGGTAACCAATCACTACCGAGGGGCCGGACCGGGGGTGCGGTATGCAAATATCGGGGGCAGTGTTTTCCTTGTATGTTACAATAAAAGTCTGAATTGGTGGGAAGGGAGCTCGAGTGTGTGATCATCGGAGCAACTAAACCGTCGTTCGCTCTCAGAGATCCGCTCCCGCCGATATTGAAGACAATTTTCCTGTGTGCCGAGTCATTTCTTTAACTTTGTCCGAGAAAATCTCTGACAACAGGGTACACCCGGGTGCCATCCAATCACAGGGCTCACACTCACACCAAGGTACAATTTAAAGTGTTCAATCACCCTGTCATGCATTTTTTTGAAATGTGGGAGGAAACCGGAGTACCCGGAGAAAACCCACGCAGGCCCGGGGAGAACATGCAATCTCCACACAGGGAGGCCAGAGCTGGATTTGAACCCGGTACCTCTGCACTGTGAGGTTGACGCGCTAACCACTGGACCACCGGGCCGCCTGAATGTTAATTAATGATCTTGATTTTATTTTGTTCTAATCACATCTGTGTATGAAAGATTATATGTAATAAAACAATGTAAACTAGCTGCTCAGGCCCAAATAATAATTTCTACGAAAACAATAGGGACTTGCAGCGGTCCCTGCTAGGGTCCTAATTATATACAGTATTGTTGTGTTGGTGGTAGGGGATGGGAGATGGGGGAGAGCGAGTGCTCAGGGTAAATTTACCCAGGACCGCCCTGGTGTTCGGTGTGTGTGTGTGTGTGTGTGTGTGTGTGTGTGTGTGTGTGTGTGTGTGTGTGTGTGTGTGTGTGTGTATGAGAGAGTGTTTGAGAGTGGCCATCAGATGGACGTGACAGGAAGTTACTATGTGCAAATGATCAACTTTGTTTTTCCTCATTTTTATTTTGATTTGATTGTCTTTTATCTTTTTAATTGCTGAAATTTATACTTTGATTGGACTACGTATAAAGTTTGGCATGACAATACCACACTGGGGATGGTGGCAGAAAATGCACAGTAATTCATTTGGGGGTGAAGAGTGCCCAAGCAATTGCCCCCAACCCTGCAATGTCAGTGACACTGTGCTACCAAAGACAGATGGCGTTAGAGCCGCATGTCAACAGTCTGCAGGGAAGACTGTGGTTCGGTAAAGCAGCTGTTGGGCTGAATTATGGGATTTGTAGTTTGTGTCATTGAGGCTTTACATTGCACAATTAAACGAAGATTGTGCTGTTTTCAGGAATCGAGGGGATGGACTTCCCCAGCATGCTTTGATGTAACAGAAGACGTGGTATAATACAGTCGTTTAAGTGTTGTTTTTCGTGGTGTAAAGCGCAGTTAAATTATGGTTACATGTGGTGGTGATGAATTTGGCAGTTTGTGTTAAAATGTTAGAGAAATTAAATTAAATTACAGTCTGGATGCTAATATACTAGTTGGATTTAATGTGGGTTGACTGGCCATGCCTGAAGAGTTCGTAAAAGGGTGAGGCAAGAGAAAAACAACTGTTGTTGTGTCTCAGAAGCTGCATTTGTGTGTACGCAAAATTAACAATACCCCACACATCCAAATAATATCAACAAAATAGGTTTGTATCGTATAAATCAGGGGTGTCAAACATACGGCCCGCGGGCCGGAACCGGCCCGCAAGGAGGTTCAATCAGGCCCACAGGATAATTTAAAAGTGAAAAAAAATGCATAAAAGACACAGAATTAATATTTTTAATAAGGTGCAATTCATTGAGTATCCGCAAGGGGGCACTGTTTTGATCAGAGAAGAAGACAACAGCAGCCTCAGTCTGTCACTGAGACAGACCCATGGCAGCAGACGCTATCAATAGCACTCTGACATTTACACATTTAATAGCACTCTCCTGAGTTTGTAAGGTGTAGGCAGGGATTACATTTAGATTTTATATGTACGTGTAAATGGTTTAAAACTTCCTTTCTTTATAAATCTCGTTTAATCTTAAAGTGCATCTCTATATTTTTCAATACCAATTACTTGTTAAAGTTTGTACAATCAGTGGGATCAGTTGCAATGCATATTTGTGAATGATAAAAGTAAATTGCACATTTGTCGAAGGAAATGTAAGGTGCTCCCTGAAATGTTTTGTA